GTTTTACCTCACTGGAAGGTCAGGCGCTTCTCATGCGGTAAAGGAAGGCAGACGACCCCCGACAGAGTCGCGTTAAAGTGGCGTCACCGACGAGATAGGACGACGGGGGTTTTGTCGCCACCTAGCGGCAAAATGTCACTGTCTGTCCTGTGGAGTACAAAGTGTGTTTTAAATGCAATTCTAAGCTATCATGTAAATTTACAATAAAATGCATTAAACTTTATGATTCTAATTTGACCACGTATGGGAAATGTTATAGGCCTTTCTGTCACGATACCAAATTTTGATGATAAACCAGTAATTATTGCAATAAACAATATATTGCTGTTTTAAGATAATTTTCAAATAATATGTTAATAACAGCATGGTATTGCAGTTTGATATGTGAAAGAATAAAAATTTATTGGTCTTGACACTGGAACTGGAAGATATGTTAAATGTCCTAAATAAAACACAACAAAAACAATAAATAAAACATAAATATAAGACACACACACAACTGAAACCATAATTGAAATAGATCCATAAACAAATTTTTCTTTGAAAATGTGTTAATCATCACAATTGAAGTTATTGAAGTCATTTTAACTTATCATGCGGCAGGTTTATTAATCTATGGATACTGTAACATGGGCATTCAGTACTGTAACATCTTATATTTAAAAAATGTTTTTTGCTTGATTGTTTTGTTTACATAAGTTTCAGATTTATTGTTTGCATTGGGTGGTTTCCTGAATGAAAAGAAAACTTCCTGCTCAAACTTAGGCCATCTTAATCAGTCTTTCAGAAATGCAGAACTTTACCATAAAATTCTCAAAGTTCTTGACTTGCATAAAGATTCATAAATATCTACTATTAGAAACCAAAGATACATTTTCCCCCATTTATGCTTCTTGAACAAATGCAAAATTAATTCAATGGATCCAACAGGCAATCATACAGAGTAACCGAATGCCTTAAAAAGGGCTTTGAATAGGAACCAGACACACAAAAAAGGATCAGATAACTGGGAATGATATTTTAAATGTCTGTAATTCACATTCTCTATGTACAATGAAAAAATAAATAGCATATTTACAGACATTTATTTACTACACAAACCGAATTTACAATACTGAAGGTAAAATGTTCAGAATGATTCTGTTGGATCACTCTTCATCGTCCACAGTACCAAAGTAAACCCAACAATAAATCCCTATGTCTAAACTAGACAAGTTGGCTTTTTCATCAATTATCTATTCAGAACCAATAAGAGCAAATAAACATTGAAGTTCTTTAAAATCAGTTTTCAGTGAGGATGAGTGTGAAATAAGTCTAGCTTCTATAAAACAGTGTCATCACAAATGTCAGTAAGTGGTTTTTTTTCTTTTCCACGCTAAAAGCAGAAGACACAACCAATAACTATTTTTCTGTGTGTGTGTGTGCGTGTGTGTTTGTTTATAATACCTTGTGGGGACCATTTTCCTGACACATACTACGTTGTGGGGATCCACTGTTCCTTGTGGGGACCGAAGCCTGGTCCCCACAAGGGGAAACACTGTTTTTGGGTCAGGGGTTAGATTTAGGATTAAGGTATGAATTGGGTTTCTGTTAGGGTTAGGTTAAGGGTAAGGTTTAGGCTGTAGAAATGAATGGAAGTCAATGGAAAGTCCCCACAAAGATAGCCACACAAACATGTGTGTGT